TGAGTGAATAACGAGGCTTGGCTAGATGCGGAGAAATGGGCACAGAGGAGCGAACAGAATTGTATTTTCTGAAGTAGGACAAACCTGAATAGCAAACTAACTACTAAACCAAAATTGGAGATGTACAAATGTAGGTAAATATAGGACTACCTAAAGATATTATTAAACATTACAACCAGATATGTACAATTAGTAAGGTGACACAAATGACTATAAATGAAATATATCAAATTATAATTTATAAATGCGTGAAAATTAATGTTACTAAAACACCTTCAACATGCGAATATGCTTTATGTTAGGAGATAACATACATCAAAACAACGCATATTAACAGCATAACAATAAAATGCTTGTGAATGAAATTTGCAGATAAGAAATTCTCTAGCGATCAATCACAAAGTTAGAGAACTGAAGCCGAGACAGAGATAAGTAAGGTAACACTAAGATCACTAGACAGTATATAGCTCGGTTTTACGACATGGTGACAAGGATCTAGGATCGAAATCTTTGATGATACTGCTGACAATAGGCCACGTTCTTGAAAACACAGTTATCAGCCAGAACATGAAGAAGATGTCGAACCTCCTACGTGAGGGACCAGAAAAGCGTGGAGAACAAGCAGTAGCTGCTTTATGACAAGTTGCCAGGTCGCGGGAGATTACATGCGAACCCCCACAGTTTGCATTATTTGTTACATCTATAGTAATGTATGGGTTTCTATTGCTGTGATTTTCGGTTATAACCGGAAGTGTTATTGCAAGGGAAAGAGTGACAGGCAGATCAAAACTAATGTGTAGCATATTGATAGTGTTACTCTCAGCAGAAAACGGGACTCGCCTGTGAACAGAACACGTGTCCGTCTTGCTTGAGGCCATGTGACTCTCTGACGACACCACTGCAGACGTTCACGGAGGTGATGCGGCCTCAGGATGTTACGCCGTACGGGTACCCTGGCTGAAATACCGGCTGCTCTCCCGGACGCAGTCCCGGTACTTGTGAGGATGTTGACGTCGCCGTGATGAAACGGTCCCGCAGGTGTCGTACCCTGATGTAGCGATCTTGCCCAGGCGTTATAACGCGAGGTCGTCCTGACCTTGGCCTGACACGAACGTTGCCGATTATCAAATAGTCCGTGACATCCCAACTGGTGAATCTTTTCCTAAGTTATATTCACACACAGTGTTAACTGGTTGATCAAAATCCTTTCAATGTGTTGGAATAGTCAAACTACTTCAACCGATAACCAAATTGTTGTATTATGAAGTAAATATGACCTCCATATGTGTTAACTCATTTCAGTTTCAGCCGACAATTATAGATATAGATCTTATTACGATAGTAACCATCGTGCGTCTGGTCAAAGGTAACTTATAATAATACGTGTGTCAGTTTGTAACGCCAACGGCTCGCATTTGTGCTCACCCTCAGTTTTCCTAACTTTTTGTTAACACAGATATTAGTGCTAATGCAATAGTTGATACATGACTCAGTAGATCGTAACGAAATTAAAGTTTCTGTTTTGTAAGCATCATCGTTTGAAACCAGTTTTGTATAATAAACCTCAGTTCAGGGGCGTATCAAGATGGGGTGAAAAACCATCATCTATAATATAATAAAAACAACCTGATGACGTTGCACCATGGCACCTTCTGCATCCTGCCCTTGTTTCGCCAGTGCCAGCCGATATTCGCAGTTTTCACTGTACTGCATGACCGTTGCAGGATTTCACACTGTCACGCTGACCTTGCCGCCGTTATGTCAAAAAACTGTTGACTCCAGTAAAGAAGCCTCTAATTAAAAGGGAGAGGGCACTTCGGGAAAATCAAAAGTTCAATTCAAAACACTTTTCATATTTAAATAAAATCACAAAGACCTGGTCTTCAGTAATCTTTTACTGGGGACCCAAATAGGTCATTTTTTGCGAGTAACAGGTGAATGAACAAACACGGTCATATTCTATATAATCAGATACGTTAACATTACTTGGTAACCCTGATTCTCTGTAAGTTGTTTTTGCCAGAAATGTCTCAAAATGGCCAATTAATGTACCCAGACAAAAACGTTCCTCACTGAACTTAACACAATTAATTGCATGTAACATGATTTCTGAAAATCTCATGATGCGAATTTCACCATGACACTGTTTACTTGTGTCAAACAGTTTTATATTTGTTCTGAATTTAATTACTACATTAAATGTACACCTGAAGATCAATTTGATAATAAAGATTTTGCCAAAAAAAGAGAACATATTGAGTTTTAGCAGAAAGCTAACAAAGAACAGAGTTTGAAACCACTGGTCGTCGTTAATGTATCTGATGCTCTGTTCTTTTTTTTGTTGAAACTTCATAAATAATATTTTTTAAAAACTCACAAACGTTACAGTATGTTTCCATCAAAATTATCTCTATACACTATGTGATCGACCCAACAGTTATATCATAGATATAATACTTTTTAGCAACATATGTTTTAGAAACAGACATATAAATCAGATAAGTTTAATTATCATCAGATACGTTACCTGCAAGATTCAGTGTTTGTGGTATACATACGCTTGTAATAATACAATATAGGATCCGTTCATAATCTTAAACCTATGCTAATATTGCCATCAATATTGTCACGTCGAGTTTAGTATATTACTTACCGAACAAAATGGAATATTTATAGGACTTGTTTAAAAAATTGTGCCCAAAGACACGTGCTGAGAATAGAAGTGGCATGACTCTTTGGTCAAATGAGCAGGTTTTCCTAATGAAAATCTGAATAAAATGTATACAGTTCACGTATCTGATGCTACAAATAAACAAAAGAACGACATATATCGCCCTTTAATCCACTATACATCTCCTGGACATACACCACACCCTTATCTCGCTGTTCATTCTGTCAGAAAGTATCGAATAACGGTAACTGGTTTAGGAGTTTCACAATCCGTATTGGTGTGTTTAACGTATCTGCATGTTGAAAAACGAATGTAACAAAGATAAAAAAAAAGAGAGTTTTAATTGTAACATGCTTACTTGAACACACATGTCAAAGCTGTAGTTTGCTGTTTGATAATCAGTTAATACCCGTGTTTATGCATTATTTAACTGTGTAAAGAGTTCAATTCTAATATTATAACAACGATTTCAAAAGTGTTTAACGTATCTGATGATAACTTTTGGGACAGATTCATAAATGTTCTCAGTTTAAGACAACTGACAAAACTGATGTAATATTGTTCAAATACAGTTTCTATGTCAATTCTATTAACAAATAACATAGAACATTATATGCGTATTGGGAAAATGTGAAATATAGTTTGAAAGTTTTGATGTATATAGGCGAGGGACAAGAGTAAAAATGCAGTTATTGACTGTATTTCAAGTATTATTGAAATCAAATAATGTATAACATAATGTTTTCGTGAATATTCTGATTTAACCACATCTGGTATACATATCTAAATTTGTACTTGTTCATAAAGTTGTACAAAATTCAGCAAATCTCCACTTAGTGGAGAATGAATGTTAAATTCACTGAAGGTGGAAGTACATCAATAAATAGTAAATGGGGATTCAGTTTTCTCGCAAAAATAATTCATTTATGTCGGTGAAGAACTTAAAAACGTAAAATTTATAACATAAATTTTTATACCAGACTTGGCGACCAACGTTTTACGAAAACGAAATTTCTTTTGAAAAACTCACCAGTATTTCACTTTCTTTACATTTGGATTCCTTCATGAGATATGAAAACAATGTAAAATGTCTATAATCTCTCAATACTTCAGAAATGAGTATTGTTTAACCAAAGTATTCATATAAGTCACTGAAGTAGATATAACAAATAAATAAATAGATTGCTCAGAGCCTTTTCTGAGAAACCAAACAAACACAGTGAATCAGCAACCGGTTAAAATGTACTGCACAGTCACTTGCGCGCGGCGTTAAAATAGTGTTAAAACCAAAAAGGCAAACCAAATACCCGACATAGTAAAAATATGTTTTATAAGAGACCCGTGTCAGTCTAGCTCGCACTCGCCCGTCTTCTACATAAGAATTAAGATGGAACACCTCTGGACACCTCTGCCGGTATGCCCGCTAAAAGTTTTTCAAAATGTAACTTGCAATACCCAGAACAGCTAATATGCTTTGGACGTCCATTGCTGCACATAGGATAGACAACATGGTCGACGGACAAATTATTATGTATACATGCAATTTCATTTAACAACGCTGTTTAGAAATGATTCAGAAACAATCTCAGTCGATGTTCCCGAGTGCTCAGACAGCAGTGACGTCAGTGGTGAAGACTTGTGAGCAGATGTATTTGTTCATTGGTAGATAATAGAATCCAATCATTGCGGAAAATGCCAACCTGCATGTCGTCTGCTTTTGCAGTCAGTAGAATGGTGAAATGATCATGGTGATTAAAGAATGAGATTATAATGTAGCTTTCTATTAAGATGTAATATATCTCTTATGATGGGTATTTCGCTATCACGCGTCTGCTATTGTAGACGACATGCAGTATATATTTTCCGCAATGACTGGATTCTATTACCTACCAATAAACAAATACATCTCCTCACCACTGACGTCACTGCCGTCTACGCTCTCGGGAGCATCGATTGAATTTTTTATGAAACATTTCTATACAGCGTTGTTACATGAAATCGCATTTATACATATGCATTTGTCTGTCTTCCACGTTGTCTATCCTATGTGCATAGACATAAATTTTTTATCCCAGACTGTACAAACTCCCACACACCGCAGTTGTAATGGTAGTTTTAACAAAACAATCTGTACTTTTTCTTTAGGCAGAAAATGCTAATCAAATAGGAAAGTCTGACTCATACTATAGGTGTTCTGTACTGTCAACAATAATGGATAACAACTGTCAAAGGTTATCACGCAATGCCAATCCCAACAGCATTTAACACTGCAAACTCAAAGTTTTCATTGAACTCGCTGTATTCATCGTAGGTAACAGGCAATCTTAAAATGCAGCTGCAGGTATTGGCCGTTGGATATCTCATGTCTGGTGAATCTGGCAGAAGCTCAAGTCGTGAGTTTGTATCAAATCCAGAAGGTGGTATGGATTCAAATCCAGTGGCGAACATCAATGTGTCGGAGAACTGCAGTCAAATCGTGTTAATTTGCAAAAGGTTACGATAACAGAAAGTGAAATATCAAAATTTTGAAAAACAGACGCCATGTCCCTTATGGGCCACCCTATATAACAGCTATGAGAATATTGCTGAAAAAGGGCGGACAGATTTACACATTTAATAGGTGGGACCTTAGCAAGTTCAAGTCAAAGTTCAAGACCCTTTCACCTGCTCTAGATCCAGACGTGATACAGAAACACAATACCTTCTTCGAACAGACTGAAAAGGTGATTATGGACGGCACAGGTCTTCTGAAGATGCTTATATTCATGATAAAGCCAGTGATAACTAATCTTTGTCATTCTGCCTTTTCCGACCAAGACGTTCTGAACGAGTTTCAGGAGGATAAGTATGATCTTGCTGTGGTAGAAGGACTACCGATGACAGGGTGTATCTTTTCCATTCCTGTTTATCTTGGAATCCCTTATGCAGCTATTGGTTCATTCATTGATCCGCAGGATGCTATGATGCCACTACAAACAACCTTATTTCCAAGCTTCTATTTGCCATATTCTAATGACATGACATTTCTTGAACGCTTTATCAACACAATAATCTACTTCCTCAACCCTCTCATCAAATACGCCATAATTCCCTCCCTAGATCTTTCAAGCTTCAGCGAAAAACTGAAAACAGTCGATACAAGGAATTTGATCAAAGATTCTGTTCTTTTTCTAGAAAACTCAGATTATTTCATAGACCACCCAAAAGCACTGTTCCCCAATTTCTTACAAGTAGGAGGCCTCACAGCTTCTCCCTCGAACCCATTACCAGAGGATCTGAGGAAATATATTGATGGTGCCAGGGATGGGGTCATCATTGTGACTTTTGGTAGTGTTTTGAAGCATGTGCCTCAGCGTGTGGTTGAACGGATGATGAATGCCATGACCCGATTGGGACAGCGTATTTTATTCAAGCACAATAACGAGGAGCTTAAGGGAAATATCAAAACCATGAAGTGGATACCACAGAATGATGTGCTTGGCCATCCTAACGTGAAACTCTTTGTCTCCCATGTCTCCCATGAGCATGTGATTAAATATGGCGGTAATAATATGAGACCTCCTGAAGTGGACTTTCTAAGCAGCATCTATGCAGATGTGTGGCTGATCATTTTTGTCTTTGATTTCCTCTTAGTTAGTGGTGTCATATTCATATTTCGTAAATGTTGGAGCATAAGAAAAGGATTCAGTAAGCCCAAAGCAGAATGATAAACTATTGTCCTAAACAAAGTATACCAAGGGTTTTAGAATCTATGAAAGCACGTTCCAAACCAACTTAATACCGAGTATGTCTACCTTATGCATTAATGCTCTCCTGAACACGCACCGATAACGTCAAACGTCAGATGACGTTGGTGATAATCCGCTGCCATTGCTCAATGAGACATTGTCCAAGTTCTTGACAGTTGGCTAGTGCCTCTGCTCGTCCCTTGATCTGTCTGTCAAGGTAATCCCATAAATGTTTAATGGGGTTCATATCAGGAGAACTTACCGGCCAGGGTAAAACGTGAATATTTGCGTTGTTCAGAAAGTTATGTGTGAGCCTTGCTATATGCAGTCATGCATTGCCTTCTGGAAGACAATGCCACGCCGCTGTTGCTGAATGAATGTTTGTCTCAAAACTTCATCTGGATGTCTCTGGGTATTCAGATTTCCCTGAATAATAACGAACCTCCCATGACGCTACCGCCTCCAAATAGTTGAACGTGTTGAACCCAATTTAGCGCTAAACGTTCACGTACTCGCCTGTATACTCGCTGCCGACCATCATTTCTGTTGATGTTGATGTTGATGTTGATGTTGATGATTTTGATGTTGAAGTGGAAACGTCAGTCCGCAGTAGGGTCGATGTGCTCTGAACCCACGTTCACCAAACCTCCAATACTCTGTCTGACGACTGACCCTGTGTCCCAGTGCTGTCGCTGCCGTTGCCGTCGCCGTCGCCGTCACTGTTATGAAGAGGTTCGGGGATGAATGGTCCGGATGTGGCGGTTTTCAATGGGCGTGGTCACAGTGGTCTCCCGCTACTACATCTGTCTTGTCTGTCCTGTCTGCTGCATCAATCTGCGAAAAATTCTTGCAATAGCAAGTTGTTTACCGGTTAAAATTTCATAACGTGCGGTGTCACCAGATTTATATTGTACTTTCGCACGTAACCCAAAGTCGTCATGGCGAAATGCACGATTTTCACGAAAAACGTCAATTTGTCCTGCTTTTTGTTACCGAATACATTTGGTTGTATTCGTGCAAACCTATTTAAGTCTTGATTTATACTGACTTTTAAAGTTATCAAAAAAGAGTAAAATATTTAGTAGATTAGCAAAGGGTGGTCTGACTCATTAACAAAGAGCTGTCTACCTCATTATCAAAGAGTGGTCTAAGTCAGTAGGAAAGAGTAGTCTGTCTCATTAGCAATGAATGGCCTAACTCGTTAATAAAAAGTGGCGTGGCTCATTAACAAAGCGTTGTCTCATTCATTAGCAAAGGGCGGCCTGACTCATTAACATAGAGTTGTCTATCTCACTTGCAAAGAGATGCCTTCCTCTTTAAAAAAGACTGGTCTGATTCATTAACAACGACTTGCCAGATAAGCAATAACCAGATTCCTTTCAGCAATTAAAGAGCAAAACCCATAGAAAACTCCAATATGAGAGGCTCACTTAAACGTTTGCAACAATCACACTCCTCCTTGGTCCATGATTCATTACGTGCTGGGACAGTTAAAAGGAAGCACCGTAATAACATATTTTGATATAATGGTCCCACAACATTGGCTCTTGTTACCTTATAACCCAGCAATTTGAACTTCAATTAACCCCACACGGTTAAGTGGGATTGTGATTTTAAGAACACTCAAAATATAATAATACTGACAATACTATGTACATTTAGAATGTTCCAAATTCCATTCATGTGAATGCTCACGGCGCCACATTGTTATTACCCCAACCAATGGATCTGATCTGATATCAGATGTTCAAAATCGCTACAACTATTCGATCTTTATCTTTACGCAGATGTTTAAGGAAGTTCAGGTGTGGTATACATACCCTCAATATACAATTATACAGACACTCCAAAGATAATGATGTTTTAGCATCGATGTGTCCTTTCTGCAAATATTACCAAGAAGATGAATACCATGTTTTATTGATATGTCCAGTATATGAAGATATAAGAATCAAATACCTGCCTAGCTATTATTATACGTATCCATCACATAGAAAATTTGTACAGTTAAGGAACAGCAAAAATATCCACATTTTTCTCGGAGATTTTTGTGTTTATAAGATATTTAAAAGAAGGATGATACTTTTCAACTACAATCTAATCAGTATACAAGTGGTGCTCGTCGATGAATTTTCCTACAACAAAATGTCATTGTACTATTGGCTTCATGGCCACACATACGAACTAAATTTGTCTGTCTGTCTGTCTGTCTGGCTGGCAATCAATGGATCTGTGTGCACCACAAGTGCTGGAAAGTTAACAGTCACATTACCATCTCATCCAACCAGGTACTGTCATATTTTTAGGTGACCCGCCCCGATTCCCCCTGACCACTGAGCTACCGATAACTTGTTGAAGACGATGGCAGAATAGGGTGATTTGGCTGAAAAGTGTTTGTCACATGCTGGAATTCGAAATGAAATGGGGTCTCATCCATTGTCTTTGAGATGGGACCTCCTAAATCTGAAACCTTCTGACATTATAGAGAGACCAGGACCGCTTAACGTATATGCTTAATTTCGAACACAATTTGTCAAGCAACACAAATATGTGTTTTAAAGTTGACGACAGCACGTGCGTACATCGCTGACCACTCCACACAGTCACAAGCTATCGATGACAAAAAATAAAACGCGAAACAACTCTACCCTCTCCCCATGACACAGTTCTATCACTTGATCTACAGCTCTGCTGGTAGTGCTTATGGGACATGTTTATGCCAAAAGTCGCTGGTGACCGCGATGCCAAATGGTGGAATATTGATTGAACAAAACTCCAAACTGCTGCCGCCATTTATCACGCAAGAGGACAGCTGCTTTATGTAGTTCAATTACTACTGGTGTATGAAACAGGGACACTTTCAGTTCAGTCGTGACTTGAAAGTGTAAGTATGACACTACACATGTGTCCTTTCCCCCAGACCCGTGAAGATCCGGGGTAGAATTGATCTACAGCAACCCATACTTGTCGCAAAGGGCGACTATGCTTGTCGTTGGAGGCGACTAATGGGATCCGGTGGTCAGGCTCGCTGACTTGGTTGATGCATGTCATCGTATCCCAATTGCGTGGATCGATGCTCATGATATTAATCACTGGATTGTATGGTCAAGACTCGACTATTTACAGATCGCCGTCATACAGCTGGAATATTGCTGATTGCGGCGTTAAACAACAAACCAACCAACCAACCTTTCCCGCCATCGCCATATGGCTGAAATAATGCCGATGCGACGTTAAATTTTAACTCACTCACTCCTTCAGACTGACAAGTGAGCACAAGCTGGAAACTGTCCTAGTACATACATGTAGTTAGATCACCATGAAAACCAGACTGCCCAGGTACAAAGCTTCTACAGAAATACAATATGCATTTTGAAAGAAGTATTTAAGATTTTACCAAGGACATTAATTAGCATTAGCTCGGTAGCCTGAGTCAGTTTATTTCATGCAAAGGTATCTCAATGACTTGTAGAATTTCAGGCTTTTTGGTAGACTAAAATCTAGTCTCTGAAATGAACATATCGTACGTAAAAAAAACCAGTTGTTCAGTTATCTTAATAAAAATATAATAAAAAGGAGCCCAGTGACTCTCTTCATTTTCTAGACTTGCCAAACATTATAGACTTGCATGGGCTGCATTTGATATATATTTGTATCAGGGTCTGTAAGACAGACTAGCTTTTTGGTGTCCTTTTATATTTTCACTATACAGGCTAGTAAATGTTTCCGGTTCAGTGGATCCATGCATTACATATTAGAGGATGATTATCCTACCATCTTTGTATTTCCGTTTTGTGTGGAAAAATCACAAGCTTTACATTTACAAAAATTAAATGTATTACTTCTTATCAATTATATTTTCTTTATGTAAAGATGATTTTACATCTTGAAATGATTTGTCAGCAAAGGTTATTCATTATCTCGAGGGAAATATATTTTCCATCATTATATTTTCAGCAGCAAAACACATTTAAAAATAAACATGAACCTTAAAGAGCATATTATCATGTGAATATTGTTGCTGGTGCTGAACCTGTGTTAATTTATGATTACTAGACAATATACTGAAAGTGTACACCCATGTTTGATGGTGGGTAAAAATGAAACTAACAGTGAGTGAGTGAGTTGGGTTTAACGCCGCTTTTAAACAGTATTACAGTTATATCTCGGCGTGTCAGCTTAATGTGTGAGGAAAGCCCGAAGTGATGCAGGTCTCAGACCTTTACCACTTCGGTAAAACCCTCGAGCACGGGTATGGTGCTGACAACTCTGAAACTAAAAAGAAATGTTTATTCGATGGTGATGTATTCGATACGGGTATCATAGTTATGTTTTTGACCTGAGTATTTTTTCAGGTCCAAGCATACTCTAATAGTCATTGCACATATCATGTTTGATATAATACTGACATGTAAATGTAAAATTGGGAGAGAATGTAGGAACTATACTCCACAGCTCCGTCTAGATACTCTTTTGTAGTTCTAAATGATCCTGTAAAATACTTGAATTAATTTCCGCAATCAGATTACCAGAATGTTGTGAGGCCATATGCGCCTCACATCTTGATTGCCAGCAAATGACAGACTATTGACATCTCAAACACACTGCAGTTTCCAAACTACAGGCCTGTGAGGTAATGAATCAACACGAAACTCTAATAATAGAACCATTACTGTTCAGCATCTCCATGAACTATTGCCATGTACATCTCGCCTCGTGCAGTGCACCATAAAGGGCAATGTATCATTTATGGTGACACTTACAGACTGTGTAACACAAGTGGTTAGAAACTCAACAAACCCTCTTGTTTCTATAATCTATGGACAGGAGAAAGTTATTCGAAAGCCAAAACAATGGCATACGCACCCTCCAAACAACAAATGGCGACGATTGAAGCTAAGTCAGGCCAAGCCACCTTAGAAGTTGATGGCTTCGATCCGTATACTAGGCGTTACTCGCTCAGATGAGTATTACTAGTGATAAGAACATGACTAAAGAAACAACATAGCTATATCAATCGTTCCCACTTTATAAGCAAACTCCTCAAGGGTAAGACTCATATTTTCATCAAATTCACCTCATATCCAACACTCTAGAGGTGGACTCTGGTATTGTATGAGGTGAGCTGCAAAGGGTATGTTGAAGGGCAATACGAACAGAACATTCATAATTGAAGACCTGACACGTTACATACACGAACTTGTCAAAATGCTAAACAAATTTCGTCATTCTATATTCAAGATGGACGGGTATTTGCAACGCCGGCGACATAATTCGCATTGAAACTGTAAATGATATTGCCCAAATGTAATTGATTTGACTGAATCAATTCAAAAATCCATATACCCGGTATTCCTATTCTATATGGAGAACACACACATTGTACATTATGCTATTGTTCACATGCATGGTGATTGTCAACCTGATCCTGCCCAAGTGACAGTCCTTGTAAAGGGCATGTTACAAGCATTTATCCTATACCTATCATAGATGATACGAGTCATGTTGCATGTGCGATAGAACCAACACAGAAACGGTTACACCACGGAGGGTGTAATAACCTGACCCGCATTACACATCTAGTACGGGTGTTATGGCTTGTCAATGCATTTTCAATGGGATATCGATATCAGCCCGGGTGGCCCGAATATCAACTGCACATATCCATATTGCACCACATTGTATTGTTTTGTAGATTTGTATACTTCCATTACCAAAACAATCATTTCATTGTCAACACAACC